TGGACGGCTGTAAGACATCTAGAATTGGTACAGCAAAGTCTTTGAGGGTTTCAAGGCACTGGTGGGGCAGGTGTAGAGAGATCATGGGAGTAGGGAGAGAGGGTCTATTTTTGTACCCATAGAGCTATGCATGGGTTTCCCAGAAAGCTAACATGAAAGAGCTGGAGGCAAAGGGGGACAGTGAAGAGGGTGAAGCAACTGGTGTTCAGTTACCCTGTGTGTGGAGTGGACATTTATACGTCCTTTGGAATGTGAGTTTGGAGGCCTCTTGTGTGAGGATGGCAGTGGCAGCCAGTGCCCAGAAACAAGAAAACCATCCTTTGACTGTGGCATCTAACTGTTTAGAGAGATAGGCAATGGGTGCTGGGGTTAGCACTTTTAGTTGTGTCAGAACCCTGCCTGCCATCCTGTAGGATTCTAAAGATTAGAGATCAAAGGGTCTATTGAGGTTAGGCAAAGCCAGGGTGGTGTCCTGCAGTAGTTTGGATCGGATGGTGGTGAGTACTTGGTGGACAGCCTTTGGATTGGACATGGTTCATCAGTCAGAATTGCCTGATAAAGGTGTTTGGCCAGCAGGGCAAAGTTAGGGATCCATAGCCTAAAGTAACTTGTTAGCCCCAGGAAGGGACTATACTTGACATTTTGTGTGTGGTGCAAGGAGGGCACAAAGTGCTTTTTGCAGTCTAGGGTGAGCTCTTTTGAGGAGGGAGTGAGCCTGAAGCCTAGAAATGTAACCCTTGGATGAGAGAGTTGTACATTGTCTCTGGAGACCCAATACCCTAGGAAGGCTAAGTAGACTTGGAGAAGAGTGGTATGGGCATAAGAGGGTTCTATTGAGGGGCTAGAGAGCAAGAGGTCATCTATGTACTGGAGAAGGGTGCTTGGGGAGAAAGAAGTCTAGATGTGTTAGATCAGCTGCGAGTGCTTGGCTAAAGTAATGTAGGCTGTTTTGAAAACCTTGGGGAAGGACCATCTAGATGAACTGCTGAGTTATTTTTATTATTGGGTCCTCCCAGGTGAAAGTAAATAGAGGTTGGCATTTGGGATGTAAAGGAATGGTGAAGAAAATATTTTTAAGGTCTAAGACAGTGAAATGGGTGGTGGACAGGGGATGTTGCTAAGCAGTGTGTTTGGGTTGAGCACTATTGAGGTGACAGGGTGGGTGGCTGAATTAATTTGTTTGAGATCCTGTACTAGCTGGTAGGTAGGCTGTTGGCGTTTTGACCAGTTGGATGGGGGAGTTGTGTGGTGACTGGACAGGGATGAGTAGTTGGAACTAGAAAGGTCTATTGAGTATGGGCTTCAGTCCCAAAGAATGTTGGTGTGAGATAGGAAACTGGGGGTAATAGGGGAAGGTGGACGGTTTAGAAGATGGGACTTGAACCAGTGGGTGGTGGCTGGCTATTCAGGGTTGGGCAGTGTCCCAGACTTGGGGATCTACCTTATCCCAAGGGAAATGGGCATTTGGTGGCCAAGAGGCATCCCAGAGGGTGGACCCCATCTTATAATGTTCAGGTAGGAGTGCCAGGATAAGGGAAGGGGAGCGGTGTCTGAGGAAGGAAAGTGTGACCTGGACATCTCTTCCCAGGAGAGCTGTTAGGCAGGAGATTATAATTAGAAAGGAGTGAGTAAGTAAGTAAGTCCCCAACAGACAAGGTAGGGGTTCAGTGGTGCAAGGGCACTGGGGGTGGCCTTCCACTCCCACCACTGAGACCTGAGAAGAAAACATTGGCCCCCCAAAACTAGGGAGGATTGCCTGGGAGGCTTCTGTATTAATAAGGATAATGATTGGCTTACTCACTGTGCTTATCTTCACCCTTGACTCAGCAGATGACAACTGGATGTTGTCACCTTCTAGGGTGGGTAGCTTGGAGCCTGGGCCCAGCAATCAGCAGGTTCCCATTAGGCCCAAGAGGTCCAGCAGCAGGGCTGGATTAAAACTTGGAGGGGGCTTTTTGGAAGTAGTGCCTTTTTCCATTTTCAGGAGTCGGCACTCCATCTTCCAATGGCCCTTTTGATTACATTCAGGACAAGGATTTAGGGGAATTTGAAGTTTTGGAGATTCCTTTTCTTCCCTGTGCCTCTCCTTGCTGCACATGAAACAAGGTCTGGAGGGCTGTTTTGGGAAGACTGAGTGAGGCGTCATGAGGGTGTGCTCAGGGCATCCACTAGGAGCTGGTATTGTCGCTGTGAGCCAAATTTTCCTCCTTCCTGTTATTGAAGACCTTAAAGGCCAGATTAGGTAAATCTTTGGGCAGTCAGTATGGGGGCCACTCTCAAGGCATTTGAGTTTGTTTATTACGTCTGGTTGGGATTGAGAGATGAAGTAGGCATTGTAAAGTATGATGTAATCTGCAATTAACAGTAATTTAAATTCTTCCTTTTCTATCCTTTTATATCTTGTCTAATTGCTCTGGCTAATACTGCTCTATTGAATAGGAGTCATAATAGTGACAGCTTTCTGTTTTTAACTATTTAATATAATGTTAGCTGTTGGTTACAGCTAAAGATAGCTTTATATTATAGGATTGAGATAGAGACCTTCTATTCCAATTTTCTGTAGAAATTTCATTATGAATTTATGTTGGACTTTGTGAAAAGCTTTTTCTGCATCTATTGAGATGATCATGTGGGTTTTGTCCTCAGTTCTGTTAATGTTAATAATGTGTTAATGGTGTGTTATATTTATTACTTTCTGTATTTGAACTATCCCTACAGTCCTGAGATGAATCCTACTTGTCATGGTGTATAACCTTCTTGATGATTTGCTGCTGTATTCTGTTTGCAAATATCTCAATGAGGATGTTTGTCATTTATTCCATTAGGGACACTGACCTGTAGTTTTTTTTTTTTTTTTTTTTTAGTTAGACCTTCACTGGCTTTGATATCAGAATAATGTTTGTTTCCAGGAATGAGTTTAGAATTGTTTCCCTTTCCAATTTCATGAAAGATTTTGAAGAATAGTGGCACTGGAATGTCTCTAAATTTCCTTAGAATTCAGCAGTAAATCCATTGGACCTGGGTATTTCTTTGTTAGCACGTTTTTAATTACATGTTCAATTTCATCAATTACAATTGGGACTATTTAGGAACTTTATATCTTCTTGACTCAGCTTTTGTAATTCGTATATATGTAGGAATCTGTACATTTCTTTTGTGTTTTCCATCTTACCAGAATTCATTTTCTTGAAGTAGGTATTAATAATCTGCTGGATTTCTGTACGATCTGTGATGATTTCTCCCTTATTGCATGGATTTGAGTCTTTCCTTTTTTCTGTAAGATTGGCTAAGGGTTGGTCAGTTTTATTTAATCTTTCAAAGAATCAGCTCTTCGATTCATTGATTCTTTGTATTATTTTGTTAGTCTCCATTATATAATTTCTGCTCTACTTTTCATGACTTTCTCCCTTGCATGAAGTTTGGGCTTGACTTCTTTAACTGCTGGAAAGTTGCAGTTCAACATTAGGTTATTTATTTCACCTCATTCTGTTTTTCTGCTGTGGTATTTATCATTATAAAATCCCTAGTAGGACTGCTTTCATTATGTCCAGTAAGTTCTGGATGTTGTACTGGAATTATCCTTTAATTATAGAAACTGTAATTTCTTCTTTAACTTCCTTGGTTTTCCAGGAAGGTGTTATTTAATTTCCATGTATTTATGCAGTACTCTTGGTTTCTTTCTTCCATTGATTTGCAGTTTCATTGCACTACAATCTGATGATGCTCATGGAATTGTTTTGGTTCCTTTGCATTTACTTAAGCATTTTCTATGTGCTGTCTGTTTTGGAGAATATGGTGTTTGCAGCTGAGAAGGATGTGTATTATTTTATTGTGGGCTCAACATCCTAAATGTTTAATAGATGTATTTGCTCACAGGCTTAATTTAGTTCAGATATAATTTAGTTCTGTTGAATTTTTTTTGTCTTGTTGATCTATTTGTGCCATTGGTGTATGGTGATTCCCCCATTATTATTGTATTACTATTTATTCAATTTTTATGTTGGTTAATATTTGTTGTATATAGGTGGGTACACTTGTGTTTGGTGCACATATATATTTATGATTGTTATCTCTTCCCCTTGGATTATTCACTTAACAAGGTTATAGTTATTTTCTTTGTTTCTCTTTGTCGTGAGTGTCTAGGGCACTCTGAACTCCGGGCAAGGTAAACACACACGCACGCCTTGTCGGGACACGGGGGGTACAGCGCTTGGAAAAGAAAGACAGGAGAGACACCTTTGCTGTCTGCACCGCGTTACACTGCACTGCACTGCACGCACAATCTTTATTTTAGGATTCATATATAGTAAACCCGATCAATTCACAGAGCCCAGATAATTAAGTAGTGAAAAGGCATTCTTTGTGGCAAGCTACAACGTGACAGACTACAATGTTTATTCTAAAGCTATCTAAGTGAGGTAAATAATCACAACCAGTTCTCATAACCTCTCTAGCCCAGGAAGAAATTCATTAGCTCAAGAATGTTGTTAATTTGTCTGCTGTTAGTGTCACAAAGGGTGGCCAGCCACTTCCTCAAGACTTCTGCAAAACAAAGCCAGCTCACAGTATGGATTCCAGAGGGTGAGGGCTCACTGAGAACAGGCATTCCTATTCTACCTCCTTCTCGCATACCAGGGCGGCTATTGTAAATTGCAGGTTAGAGGGGGTTGGGCCTACAAAGTGACACCTCATCCCCCACACTTCCTTCCTTTTTATTTTTTAACAACAATTTCCATAAGATCAGGTTATTAATAGTATTTCGTCTTATGCAGTAAAAATACACAAGAACTATGGCAATGAGAACTATAATTAAACTAAGTCCCATGCCACTAAAAGTGTGGGTTATGCTCTGCCAGATTCCTTTGGAATCTAATCCTTTCAAAGATTGAGCAAGCAATTGCGCGAATTGTGCTAGGGATTCATCATCATTTTGCTTTGCAAAATCCTTGTCAATTTGATTATGCAAAGATTCTATTTCCTCCTGGGCAGAGGTGTTTCCATTTAGATACATTCTAATCATTTCCCATTCATGTTCTGTTTGATTATAAGGTCGTTGGGTTATACAGAAAGTAGTTGAATTCCAATCACATTTTAAAAACACTTGATGCTGAAGAGCCAATATTTTTCTACCCATCCATTCAACTGTTTGTTTAAGGAGGTCTATTTGTTGTTGTAGTCTGGCGTTTATTTGCCACTGAGTTAACCAAAGTTCATGAGAATTTTCATGCCATAATTCTACAACATGTTTTTCTTGCAAAGAGGTTTGTAAAGCTATTCCTGAGACTGCTGCTAGGGAGGCTACAGTTATCAGACTTAACAGTACAGCAACCACTATTCCAATAAATCTTTTTGTACGTTTTAACAGATGTTTAAAAAATTCAGTAGTAACAGAAATTACCGGGTCTTGAGACCATGGTCGAGTTAAATTTACAGGCAACCAAATATGAGTTTTTTGTTGTAACAGCATAACTGTATAAGGCTTAGTGAAATTTAGTGTGCTATTTAATCATGTAAACAATTGACAATTTAAACAAGTACAAGAAAAATGTGTAAAATTAAAAGTTCCCACTAAAAAGACATAAGGCAGAGGTGCACAAACAGTAATATTATATATTTTAAACCTAGTAAAATTATAAGTAGTAGATACAGATCGACTAGTCCCTGAATAGGAAACATTGTACAAGGTTACAGGTTGCATAGCGGCTGGAATCTTCCAAATATGATTTTGAAGGTGATGAGGGTATTCTTCGGCTGCAACAGCAGGGTTAGCGATTCCACCATCTCCCCACCACAAAAGAGCCGTCTTCTGATGAAATATAGGAGCTCCGTCAGTTATTTTCTTTGGATCTGGAAGACTATACACAACAGAGAGATTACATCTTGTCTCATTCCATTCAGCACATCCATTAATGAATTTTCCAAATGGTCCCCAAATAATATACCCATCAATATTTTTAGCAAATTTTCCCATACATAGTTGCCAAATTATGGGATTATAAGAAATATTTTTATAAGTGAATTCAGGGCATACAGGAAATGTATTTGTATCAGGTGCTGTTAAATTTCTCCAGGTAACATTAAAGGTTTGAGCAGCCAAGGCTTGAAGCCTTGTTCTTTTGTTGCCTGCTTTTATTCCATGTTGAATCCAATACTGCCATCCCAGAGGGATGCAAGGCGGTTCCCCAATGCAAATAGGCCTTTGATTACCATAATAAGTAAAATTGAATAATGTCCCATCATCTTGATTGTGGGGGGTTAAATCAGCCCACGGTGCTGACAAAATTTCTCTAGGTGTGGTATAAAGTAAAATATCACTAGTTCCCCATTTTACAGGTTCTAATAAAGGGGGGTTTGGAATATATGCCCAGTACGAATGTGGAGGTACCTCAGTCCCCGACGCAACAGTGAGCAAGGCACATAAAGCTAAAAACAAGTTTTCAGGGTTTAAAGGCTTTCCTGCTTGAAGGACAAGCCGTTGCCCTTCTATGGTCAATTTCTTTAATTGTCCCCATGTAGGGAGGGGATTTAAATTTGGTCGCTGTGAGCGGCGGGATTTTCTTAGCTTTAATCTGGCCATGGCTGCGATAGGAACAAGCTCAGCATCCTCAGCCTCTAGCTGGTTTCGCGCTCGCTTCTGAAGGCACGGTTCCGGTTCCTTGGGGAGTTGTCTCCGGGGCTGGCGAACAGGGTCTGGAGGCGCGGATCCTGATCCATCGTCCAGGGACCCACTGCTGAATTCCATTTTCTGTGGAGATATAACCAAAACCTTTCCCCTTATAGAGCAATGTGCCCCTCTCCCATTCAGCCTCTGGAGCTGTTTTAGTCCAAATAGGTTCATTAATCACAAAGGGCTGTTGTTGCTGTTCAAAATGTTTTTCAGCTCTAGTTAATATTTCACCTTGTGGTAAATTGAGAAAATTTAAAATAAACAATGCTTGATGCAGTAATGTTTTTGGACTGTTTTGCAATTTAAACAGTATTGGTATCTGAATATCCTCCTGACTCCTCCTTTTTAATTTTTTAATTTGCAACTTAAGAGTGCCATGTGCTCTTTCAACAATAGCTTGACCCTGGGGGTTATATTCAATCCCTGTAATATGAATAATATTATGGAGATCGCAAAATTGTTTAAATGTTTTGCTAGTATAAGCAGGTCCATTATCTGTTTTGATTTTAGAAGGAATTCCCATAACTGCAAAAGTCTCCAATAAATGTACAATAACATTTTTAGTGGATTCTCCCTGTTGAGCAGTAGCCCATAGAAATGAAGAATAGGTATCAATAACTACATGTACATAAGAAAGCCGACCAAAAGAAGGTACATGTGTAATATCCATTTGCCATAACTCATTAGGTTGAATTCCTCGAGGGTTGACACCTGCGGGAATAATTCTTAAATGTAATGGTCTACAAATAGGGCAAGCTTTTACAATCTGTTTAGCTTTTGTAAAAGGTATCTTATATTTAAGATGCAAATGTCCTGCATTTGCATGATTAAATTGATGTTCTTCAATGGGTGTGGTGAACATAACTAAGGAATCCACTGCATTGTTACCTGATACTAATGGTCCGGGTAACTGAGAATGAGAACGTAAATGAGTAATAAAATAAGAATGATTTCTTTTTTGAACATGTATTTGTAAATTTTGAAATAAAGACAATAAGCAGGCTTATTAGAATATAACTGAATAGATATTTGTCACTACTCCAACAGAATAGGCTGAATCGGCTATAATGTTAATAGGTTGGTTATGAAAATCTAAAAACACTTGTAATATAGCAAAAAGTTCATTTTGTTGTACAGAGTTAAAATTTGTCTGACGTACCCAGTAAGATTTTTGAGTCCAATATGCAGCTTTATTTTTAGATCCATCTGTAAATATAGTCAAAGCTTGTGGAATTGGCTGTACAGCTAATAAGGTATTAACCACAAATTGTTGACGTCTAAAAAAATCCCATAATTTACTTTTAGGAAAATGATATGAAAAAGTTCCCATGAAATCTGCTAAAGCAATTTGTAAGGTTTCAGTAATTGACAACAAATATTCCCATTGTTCCTTAGTTAAAGGGATAACTATATTGTTTATATCTTCTCCTATCAAAGTTATAGAACGAGCTCTACCATTCATAATTAAAGCTGCAACCATGTCAATATAAGGCATAACATTTTTAGATTGCTTAGTTTTAGTGAATACCCATTCTACTGGCATAGCATTTTGACCTAAAACTGCAGAGGGATATTGAAAAGTATTAATAATATATAAAGTTAGAGGCAATTTAGGATCAATCCTAATTAAAAATGCATCCTTAATTCGTTGTTCTACAAACTGTAATTCTTGCTCTGCTTTTGCTGTTAAAGAACGAGGGCTGGATGGATCTGAAGAGCCCTGTAGAGTAGCAAACAAATGCTGTAATGCATGGGTAGGAATACCTAGTGTGGGACGAAGCCAATTAATATCCCCTAATAATTTTTGAAAATCATTTAAAGTGGATAACTTATCTCTCCTAATAGACATTTTTTGTGGAATCACCTTTTGTCTAGTAAGAATATATCCCAAATAATGACTAACTTCTTCCTTTTGAATTTTATCCTGTGCTATTACAAGTCCAAACGGAGAAAAATATTGAGGTAAAGTTTTTAAAATATCTTCTAAAACATTTCTATCACTATATGAGAATAAAATATCATCCATGAAATGAGCCGTATAAACCTGAGGCCATCGTGCACGCACTGGTTTTAATGCTGCATCAACATAAATTTGACATATAGTTGGGGAATTTTTCATTCCTTGGGGTAAAGTCCTCCATTGATATCTTTGATAAGGTCTTTGATAATTTGTTTGAGGAATTGAAAAAGCAAACCGTTTTCTATCTTCTGGATGTAATGGGATGTTAAAAAAACAATCTTGTAAATCTATAACATATACAAACCAACCAGCAGGGAGCGCTGAGGGTAAAGGAATGCCGGGCTGAAGGGCTCCCATTTGAATTAAGGATGAATTTACAGCACGTAAGTCCGTTAAAAGTCTCCACTTGCCTGATTTCTTTTTTATCACAAATATTGGAGAATTCCAAGGAGATGTGGATGGTTCTATGTGATGTAGAAAAAGCTGTTGATCAATCAATTCCTGTGCTGCCTGTAACTTTTGAGTAGTCAAAGGCCACTGATCTATCCAAATTGGGTCATCATTTTTCCAATTAAGCTTTAAAGGATTCATTTCCCTAGGCTGTAGAAACATGCAAAATATTAAAAATGTATATAAGCTCCCCATTGTTCTAATACATCTCTTCCTAAAATAGAAACTGGCACCTCTAAGATATAAGGTTTAATAACAGCAACTTGACCCTCTTCATTTTTTATATGTATATGCATTGTGGCTTGTCCAATTGTATTTACTGGAGTTTTACTTACTCCTTTTATATTACATGGAATAATAGTATAAGTAATATGAGAAGGCCAATCAGTAGGTTTAACAATAGTAATATCCGAGCCTGTATCTATAAGAGCCTGAATTTTCTTATGCTCAATAAAAATATTAATAAGAGGTTGTTGTTGAGATAATTTAGCTGTCCACATTACATTAATAGGGTTAGTGCTGCCGAACCCTCCTGTTCGCTGAACAACAGAGGATCCTATTGGGATATAAGGCAGTAAAATGAGTTGAGCTATACGTTCTCCCTTTAATAATTTATAATCTGTAAGTGAGGACATCAGAATCTGAATTTCTCCAGTATAATCTGCATCTATAATTCCTAAGTGAACAGTAATGCCTTTTTGATTTAAACTAGATCTACCCGTGAGCAAGCCAAAAGTTCCCGCAGGCAGAGGACCAAAAATTCCTGTAGGAATTCTCACGGGAGATTGTCCTCCTCTTAATTCTACATCTTTTAAGGCTGGTATGTCCACTGCGGCACTGTGTTGGGTGGCTGGCTGTAGGGAGAATACGGTAGATTTACCCCATTGATTTGTCCGGGGCCCGGGGTAGGGCCCGTTCTCCCGTTTCCCTTTTGTTCAGCTGAATTAACTTGTTTACTCCTGCATTCACGAGCCCAATGATTTCCCTTCTTGCATTTTGGACATAAGCCAGGAGCTCTAGATCTCTTTTTTTGATCATTGCCTACAAGTTTTGGACAGGCCCTCTTTACATGTCCTATCTGACCACAATTAAAACATTTTAAAGACTGTTCCTTTTTAGATTGCCAATTAGTCCACGTGGTTGCCATGGTCTCAGCAAACAGTTGCATTTTCCTAGATTCTGAATTTAAATCTTTACATTGTTTTATAAAATTGTCAATCGTTCCAGTATCTTTTATTGGAATTAAAGCCCTTTTGCATTCATCATTAGCATTTTCAAAAGCTAACATTTTTAAGAGATGCTCTTGTAAGTCTTGTCCCACTACTGTTTTTTCTATAACATTTTGAAGTCTTGCAACGAACTCAACATACGGTTCATTGGCTCCTTGCAGAACTTTAGCCCAAGATCCATATTCTGATCCTTTAGGCCGTATTTTATCCCGAGCTTTTAAAGCAATATCTTTTAATTGAGCATGAATCTCTCTTGGAGCTCCTGCCTGATGCTCAACAGTATCAAAGAAACCTGTACCAGAGAGCATGGGATAAGAAAGGAGTCTAATATTCGGATCTCGATCGTCAGCATTTTGTCTTGCCTTTTCCGCACAACCTTCCATAAACCACATGTGCCACTGTAAATATTCTGGCTCCTTTAAAAGAATTTTGGCCAAGGCTTTCCAATCATAAGGAGCAAGATTACCATAGTGATCTGCTACCGATGTTATTAATTCTCTAGTGTAATGAGCCTGAGGGCCATAAAGGGTTACAGCCTTTTTTAATTTTGCTAAATCATCCATATTAAATGCTTCCCATCTAGGGGGAACTGCCTCTCCATCTATTGGCTGTGGCCTGATTACAGGGAAAGCAAAGGCAGGCTTTTCCTCATCAGAATCCCCTAATTTTGGTAGATCAGCCAAAGCTAGCTTGGCTTTACTCCAATTAGGGTTAGATGGAGGAGGTGCAGAGGGAACTATAGGCGGGTTTTGCTTAACGGAGAGTTGTTTCACCTCTTGTGTTAAATGTTGTATAGCCTGTAAAATTGGGCGATTGTCATAATTTGATATTGCTGCGGCAGCTAAAGCTGAGTCGGCTGTAGTGGATTTTACTTTTAGTTTGGACGCCTTTTCACTACTTAAAGCGATAGCGTCATTTTGAACTACATTCTGCTCCTCCTCTGTGAGGGGCAATTCCTGAATAACTGGCTTAATTTCTAGTTGAAGATTTTCTACAATATGTTCATCTTCCATAGCTTTTAATAAAGAGTACACAACCGACCAAATAGCCCAAAAACGTAAAGGAATCTTTTCCTCCTGTTGCATAGCCCTTTCTATACTAACCCTTGCCTTCCTCCATACTTCTACATCCAAAGTTCCTTCATCTGGAAACCAAGGATTATATTCTTTAATTGTATCAATACACATATCCAAGTCAGCTGACCTGAGCGATATGCCATATATAGATAATAAATGTTTAAGAATTTTTAAGAAAGGAGAAGAAGCAGATTGTCCCATTTCCCCGTAATAAAATTATACTTACCTTCCTAAGCGACCTTCGGAGTCCCTGAATTCGGGCGCCACTTGTCGTGAGTGTCTAGGGCACTCTAAACTCCGGGCAAGGTAAACACACACGCACGCCTTGTCGGGACACGGGGGGTACAGCGCTTGGAAAAGAAAGACAGGAGAGACACCTTTGCTGTCTGCACCGCGTTACACTGCACTGCACTGCACGCACAATCTTTATTTTAGGATTCATATATAGTAAACCCGATCAATTCACAGAGCCCAGATAATTAAGTAGTGAAAAGGCATTCTTTGTGGCAAGCTACAACGTGACAGACTACAATGTTTATTCTAAAGCTATCTAAGTGAGGTAAATAATCACAACCAGTTATCATAACCTCTCTAGCCCAGGAAGAAATTCATTAGCTCAAGAATGTTGTTAATTTGTCTGCTGTTAGTGTCACAAAGGGTGGCCAGCCACTTCCTCAAGACTTCTGCAAAACAAAGCCAGCTCACAGTATGGATTCCAGAGGGTGAGGGCTCACTGAGAACAGGCATTCCTATTCTACCTCCTTCTCGCATACCAGGGCGGCTATTGTAAATTGCAGGTTAGAGGGGGTTGGGCCTACAAAGTGACACCTCATCCCCCACATCTCTTGATCAGTTTTGGCTTGAAATCTGCTTTGTCTGCAAATAAAATAGCTTCCCCTGCTTTTTTCTGGGTTCCTGTTGCATGGAATTTTGTTTTCCATCCTTTGATTTTCAGTTTGAATTTCCTTTTAATTATATGTGCTTTTTGTATGCAGCATAATGTTGGAGCTTATTTTTTGATGTATTCTGCCAATCTGTTTCTTTGATTGGTGAATGCAGACCCATTAATATCACTAGCTATAACTGATATGTCTTACCTTATCTTTTTTGTGTTATTTTCCTGATGTGAGTTCTCTTTGTTTCCCCTCTATTTAATTATTTGCCTTGCGTGATGGATTCATTTTGCTGGGATTCACGGAATTGTAGCCTGCACTGTTGTTTAGACATTTTGACCTTTTAAACATTGTGGAGTACTGGTTTGGTGGTTATGAATTTCTTCAGGTTTTTGTTTCATTGGAAGTATTTCTTCATGTATTTTGAGAATTAGTTTTGTGGGTATATCAATCTGGGTTGTAGGTTGTTTTCTTGTTGGGCTTGAAGTTCTAAATTGTCCTTGACTGAAAGGTTTCTTTTCAGAAGTCTGCTGTGATTTGGAAAGCTTTTCCTTTATAGTTGATTTATTTCTTTTCTCTAATGGCTTTTAATCTGTTGCATTGAAGTTCTGGAATCTTGCCAAGACATAATCTTGGAATACTTTTTTTTTTTTTTCCCGATATGGCTAATTGTTGTTCTATAAGCCTCATTTATTTCTATGTCAAATTCTTTTTCCATGCTTGGGAAATTTTCTTCATTACTTCTGTAAACATGTTTTTGTGTCATTTGCCTTATGTCAGGCTTTTATATTGACTCTTACCTTACTCTCTATCACCAGCAGCAGTTGGATTGATTTTCCATAGTTCTTTGTCATTTTTAAGAAATCTTTCTAGTCATGATTGCTAATTGCAAGCCTGTCTTGCAGTCCTGTCTTCTAGATCTGATATTCTGTCCTCAACATTGTTTAATTTTGCTGTGTATACTTTAACTAGAATTTTTAATCTCTTGATATCTGATTGAATCTGTTCCATAGATTCCATTTCTTTACTGTATTATATACTTATGCTTTCTATCATTTTCTTATGCTCCTTTATTTTTTTTAAATCTGTATGGTCTCTCCATTCACTAATCCTGCCCTTTATTATGGTAATGATCTCTGAAGTTATCTGAGAAATCATTTCTGATTTAATTTTTTCCCAGAGCCTCCTTCATCTGCTTTTTTTTACTTTTATTGTTACCACTTCAGAGAGTCTAGGTGCAGCTGGCTTTTGGGTTTTGAGTCTGTTGCAAGATCCTCTTTCTTCAGGTTTTTGAGGATGAGAAGTTGCTACCTAATTGACCTTGAAATGCCAGTGGCCTGAAGTATTGTTTATGACCCTCAGGCATCTCAGTCTTGGCATACAAAGAAAAACAACTAATTGGAACAGTGTATCACCTTGTGTAACTAGATGTGGTTTGAATCATTCATTTACCACCTTTAACCATGTGAACAAGGTTTATAGTGTTTTTTTTTTTAAATCGGTATCAAGGATGGAACTCAGGACTGTCTGCCCACAAGGCAGGTGCTTATGCCGCTGAGCTAAATTCCCAGTCCAAGGTTTATAGTTACATAACAAAAATTGAAAACAGATTATAAAATTGTATACATAGTAAATATTCACTCTGTGGCAATTTTACCCTCGGGAGAAAATTTAATAGAGATTAGAGAAAAAAATAGAGCAAAAGAGAAGGGATTAGAATAAAGACTGGGGAACAAAGGAAGATTAGAAAACCTTTGGGAACTGGTGAAAAAAGCAGAAGGGAAGCAGGGAGAAACAAGAACAGAGCAGAGTAATGACAAAAAGAAATAAAGAAACAGTGTTCTGGGAGAAAAACATGAACAATCATGAAAAAAATATTTTTAAATGAAGAAATAATATTTAAATGCAAAGAAAGTAAATCAGAAAGAAAACTAAAAAAGCTCACCTCAGGACATAGTCTGCTGGCCCTGGTAGACAGAGGGGATAGATAAAACCCAGATCTGCATCAGTTGATCCCAGCAACCCAGCAGTAGAATTACAGCAGCAGTGGGTAAGGCCAGGAAACCTGGGCCTTTAATTCCACCAAAGTTGGGGCTGCTTCTGGTTTGTGACTGTGAGGCTGAAATCCGAGTAGCCCGCAACTCTCCAAGTTCCTCCTACTGGCTTGAACTTGCCCTCTGACACTGGGAGCTGCTAGATGGAGCCAACCCAAAGTTAGTCTGGATTCTGGTTTCCCTTGACCTCTCTACGAGATGGTGACTGGCCGGTCACTCTTTTCTGGGGGACAACTGAACCCAAATAACGCACTGGCCCCTGCTGCCCACAGTGCCCACTGCTCCATTCCACTGGCATTTTTTCTCTATAGACGCCTCCGAGTTGCCAGTAGTCACTGTGCTTCTGCAGATTCCAGCTGCCCTCCTGTGTCTTAGCTGGGGCTCAGGGAGAAAGCACCGCTTGCCACCTCCCTCTTTTATGTTGAGGGGCCTCCTTCGTGGTTCACTCTTGGTGCTTCAGTTCTTACTTCAGATCCTTGCTGGGTCCTGGTATCACATTTTCCTCCTCTTTGTCTTACTCAGGTTACTGTATTCCAGCATTGGGACTCCATATCTTACAGGTTTGACTTATCCATTTTTAATAGTGTCTTTATCTCTTGCCACCTATGTCACATAAAATGAACTCTGGTAATTTTTTTGTTTTCTTTCCTATTTCCTATAATCAGAATATAAATTTATAGCACATAGCATATATGATTAAATGCCTTATATTATTTGTAATAGCTTGTATGATTAAATGTCTTATACTTGTAAAAACTTTTATTTTAAAAAGATTAAGAAAAATGAGTACATAACAAAGCAGATCAGATCAGAACAATGTAAACCACACAGTATTTTACCACAAGACAACCTGTAATTAACAGTAACTATCATAATGTCTCTTTCTTTGAAATAGTTGAGCATAACTTCATATACAGTAGTATCAAACATAACAAAATAGTATAAAACCATTCAAAAGAATCAAAGAATTACAGGACATTCAGAACCAAAGCAGAGAACAAACAATGGCTACTATATTATCTCATTTTCCATAAAACATTGTTTATACTGTCACATATAATAAAATCCAATAAGATAAAATATGGATTGAACCAATGGAAACAGAAGAGCACAGCATAGTAGGACTTCAGAGTAAGATGATATTAAATCAGCACTGGCTATCAGAATGTCTTGTGTACTTTAAAATAGCTGTTCATACCATCACAGATAACAAAATCACACAAACCAGGATAAAACCATTGCAACTAATGAATGCAAACATTATAATGCTTCAAAACAATGTAATGAAGAATCATGATTACCATAAACTCTTATGTACTCTTACCATTTCTTACACTAGGGAGATTATATGGTACATATGCATGTGAGTTTGATTTATATAGGGAGATTATATGGTACATATGCATCTGAGTTTGATTTATTTCACTTATGACTATGGTCTCAAGTTGCATCCATTTATTTATAAATATCTCAAGGTGATTATTCTTTATAGCTGATCCATTTCTCAGTGGATGGACAGTTAGGTTGTTTCCAAGATCTGGCTATTACAAATTGTGTTGCTGTAAACATGGGTGCACATATATCACTGTGCTATGATGTTTTCAGTTCTTCTGGGAATATGCCTAGAAGTGCAATAGCTGGGTCGAATGGGACTTTTTTTTTATTATTTAAGGAGAAAAAAGCAGAAAAAGGGTCCAAGTTATACAGAATTTCAGAAAAAATAAAACAATAGGAAATCACTAGTTACTGGATTACATATTGTCATCTTAGAAATATTTGTCCAAGTTACAAAATTAAAGCATATAAAGTAGACTTTGAATCCCAGCTTTTTGAGGAATCTCCAGATTGATCTCCACAGTGATCACACCAGTCTGCACTCCCACCACAGACCGCAGGCCGCCGGCACACATTGGCATGTTGCGGCAGGCGGGCAGCACACTCTGGTAACACACAGCAGGCCGCTGGCCTGCGCCAGTAATACACATCAGGCCACAGGTGTGTGCTGGCAACAAGCCGCAGGCCACCAGCCTACGCTGGAGAGTTGTGGTGTGCCGCAGGTGCCCACCAATTACAGGCGGCATGACACCAGCACATGCTGGCAGCAGGCAGCTGGCCACCAGTGTGCGAGAGACAGGCAGCAGGCCAATGAAACACCCTGGCAATAAGCGTCGGGCTGCTGGCACATACCGGCTACAAATCGCAGTCCACCGGACCATGTTGGCGAGTTGCTGCAGGCTGCCGGCGCAGGCTGGCAACAGGCGGCTGGCTGGAAGTGCATGCTGGCAACAGGCAGGTGGGCCACGGCACACGCCACCGACTGGCGGCTGTCTGCCAGCATGTGCTGGCAATGGCGGTTAGCCGATGGAGCGTGCCGTGACAGGCGACAGGACCACGGTATGCCCCGTGACACATAAAAGGATGCCAGCACACACCAGCTACAACCATCAGGCCACAAGCGTGCGCCAGTGACAGGAGGTTGGTCACCGGTGCACCCAGCGGCAGGCGGCAGGCCAGTGGGGCGCACCACTGACAGACCCCTGGTTGCCAGCCCCTGCCGGCGACTCGTGACAAGCGACACTCAGCAGGCGGGCCGCGTGTGCCGTGACAGACCGCAGGCCACCTTTTATCTGTCACTGGGGCATACCGTCGGCCTACCGCCTGTCACCGTGGCGTGCTGGCAGCCTGACAAATGTTGCCAGCACACACAGGCAGAAAGCCATTTTTTGGCAGCACGCGTCAGCAGCCTCCCACCTGTCACTGGCACGTGCTGGCAGCATGCCGCCTATCGACAGTGCGCGCCAAGCGCCTACCGCAACTTGCCAGCACAGACTGGCGACCTGCGGTGTGTTGTTGGCGTGCACTGGCCACCTGCCAATTGACTTGGGTGC